CCCCAGTCTGAAAAGGACAGGGACCTCCTAGAAGGAGTTCAGCAGAGGGCCACAAAGATGCTAAGGGGCCTGGAGCATCTCCCATGTGAGGAAAGGCTGAGAAACATGGGACTGTTCAGCCTAGGGAGAAGAAGAATGAGAGAGGATCTGCTACATGTTTATAAATATCTAAAGGGAGGTGGGAGGCAAATGGATGACGCCACACTCTTGACTGTGGTGCGCAGCAATAAAACAAGGAGCAATGGCCCACAAACTTGAACACAGGAAGTTCAGTACTAACATGTGGAAGAGCTTCTTTACAGTATGGGTGATGGAGCACTGGAATAGGTTGCCCAGCCCAGAGAGGTGGTGGAGTCTCCTTCTGTGGAGATATTCAAGAGCTGGCTGGACATCTACCTGTGTGACCTGCTGTAGGGAACCTGCTTTGGTCAGGGGGGTTGGACTCGATGTTCTTTTGAGTTCCCTTCCAACCCACCCCTGTGATTCTGTGACATCCATGGCTGATTAAGACATGTCTAATTGGATTTATTTACAGTCACTGTAATAAGTTCAGCACATACTTAGCAGATAAACAGACGATAGCTGTATTCTCTTTTAAGCGGGAATTCATCTCCTAAAGCTACACAAAGAACAGCAGCACAGGGTCTGCGTGCTTAAAGAGCAGCTCAAAGAATGAGCTTGTAGAGCTTATGCCTCCCCATCCCCTAGATAGACTCATCAAAAGCCCTTGGTGGATAATTGATCGAGCTTTCCCAGAGCACAGGAGTAATAAGCAATAGATCATACAGTGGGAAGTGAACACAAGGTCTCCTTAATGACTACTTAACCCCACCAATCATGACGTCAACCTATCTGAAGGATGTAAGAGGCTGCTTTTGAAAGCAAAGCTGCCTGATGTCTTTAGATAACCTCTACTGATAATTGGCACTACTCCTATTTCGCTAAGAGTCAGCTCTGCAGCTGAGCAGCCCCATGGAAGGACCTGACCAGACCAGATGGTACACGCTTGTTTTCCACGTGCATGGGAACCAAAGGAACACTTCAAGAGAGTAACATGCACAATAAATGTTATGGACTGCTGCAGATGGGACCCCAAGGCAGAGCTGGCATCATCACTTAGAGGGAAGACAAGCCACAGACCTTTGTTTTACAAATCCCTTATGCAGCTCACAGTCCTCCTGCTGCCGCAGCGCTTCCAACACAGGGCACAGCGCATCCGCAGATCCAGCACCACGCTCACAGGACTTGTTCCTTAATGGCCCATCTGCACCAAAAGGATCTATTTCACCATGACCTAAGCATACTAAATGAATGCTACAGCCATTATCAGCCCGGCTCTGGGGCCAGATTTGATTTGAGATGTCCTACATGCCTGAAAAAGCTTTGTTTGCTACCTCGCTTGTGTCTTCAAACCTCTAAAAATACCTTCAGAAACCTGGCTCCAGGGCCCACAGGCCCTTTAGCTTACCTCTCCTCAGAGCAATAACACTGCCTGCATCCTGCCACTGCATCCAGCTCTCAGCTGAGTCCCTCCCCACCCTCTCCCAGAGCAGTTGCCTGCCTTCAGTAACAATAATAATGCTCAAAGCAAGCTCTCCTCAGAGGCAGTTTCCCTGGAGAATGCTCTCTACTTCAGTGCTCATCAAAACAGGAAGGAAACAGATTTTAAATGTTCTCCAATCTATTTTGCAAGCCGTTCTGAAGCCTGAGTATGTGTTTCTCTTTGAACATTTTCTCATAGGGACAGCATATAAGCACAAACTTGGCCTCTTTATAAAATTAACTGTGCTTCAAGTATTTAGAAATGAACACACAATGGCAATCAATGTTTTGCACAAAGCAGGCATTTTTCAAGCTTTGCTCTCAACACAACCAGATGTGTCGCAGGTCTGTTATTAGCAGGAATTTAAGCAATGTTATGTCAAAATGAAGCAACATCAAAGCATCAAATTATTCTCAAACAGAAGGTTTTTCAAGCACACTGGTGGGGCAGGCCTCAGAAAGCCCCCCATGGTTACATGCAATTTTACAGCCAGCCACCTGGCTGTAAAATGTACAAGCATACCAGTAGTTCCAACTATGCTTAAAGGGGGAGATTTAGGTTAGAAGCTGCGCAGAAACCCTTTGCTCAAAGGGCAGAATGGCCCTGGCACAGCTGCCCAGAGAGCTGTAGGTGCCCCATCCTTAGAGATGCCCAAGGCCCTGCATGGGGCCCTAGACAGCCTGAGCTGGTGGGGGGCAACCAGTCCACAGCAGGGTGTGGAACTGGATGGGCTTTTAAGTCTCCTCCAATCCAACCATTTTGTGAGTCTGACATTTCCTAGGACAAGCAACCAATGATGGCAGCAGTCACAGTGAGGGACGTGATGGTAGAGATGAAGGCCACGCTAAGCCCTTCATTTCCTATCCTTCCACAGAAGGATGCAATTATCCCGGCAGGGTGAATGCTTGCCCAGTCTAATAAGAGGACCACACATTAGAGGAGGCAGAGCTCACTCTATGATGCCCCAAATTCCTGAGGAAAGGGAGAAGACTGAGGGATTCTCCTCACCACAACACTAAGTTTTATCCACTCCTAGTAAACACCTGAGCTGCAATATGCACCTATCTTCTAATTCCTAACAGCACCATAAAAACTCAAGACACACATCTACAGGCCACCCAGACAAAGCAAACTAATCAACCAGCCCCTGAATTGTTACAAGTTAATCAGCCTATTTCTTCAAAGAACCACGAGACAGTCTTGCCTGTATTTTCTAAGCATGTTAACAAAGATCTTGAAAGCCATGCGAATGGGAGTGCCCTCTTCTACAATGCTATACCAAACCTACGCCTAAGATCCCAGGCAGAGTAACTGAATCCTGGTGGCTTAACAAAGAAACTAGGATTCGGTTACTCTGCCTAGGATCTTACTACTGCCCCAATAATTATTAACGGCATGTTGTTGCACTGTGATACCCACGTACATGAAGTGACACAAACACAAAGTGTTTAATTAAAAGCTTTAACAGAGTGAAGCTGCCTTCAGGTGGAATATAGACAACCTGGACAACAAAGAGGGCTGTAGATGTGCAGCGTGGTTAAGTCCCAATATTGCTGAAACCAACTTTCAAATTGGAGTCACTGTCCCTGAAGGCGTTCAAAGAAACATGTAGATGTGGCACTGTGGGATGTGGTTTAGTGAGCATGGTGGTGGTGGGTTGGTGATCTCTTCCAACTTCAGTGATTCTGTGATTCTACTCTGAGAAGTGACTTGCGTGTCCATTTAACTAATCTTTTCAGTATATTCTCTTGGTAAAATTTTCATTTAGAAACACCTGATGCACACTTACTACTGTGAGGAGACCATATTTATTACCATTAGCAGTGTATTTAAGTGACATGCAGCATTTGGCTCACTCCAGCACTGACCTGAACTGTGTTTAAGCTGCACTCATTTCAAACTGGGTTGAAGCCAAAGCTTTTGGAGACCAAACTTGCTTCTTTTCTGATCCCTCAGCCAGCAGGAACAATGAATTATTTAACAATAAAAATCAGAGCAGACTGCTCAGACATATAACTCCAGATCACCACAAGTCATCACCACCACCTCCTCTGGCAGCCCAGAATCCCAGGGAAAGAGAGGCACTCCGGCTATTATGCCTTTCTCTGAGGAACAGCTCTGATTCAAGGACAGAAACTGGCACCACCTAAGCTACACGATATCCCTACTCCTCCCCAAGTTCCCCAACCAACACAAACCCTGCGATCCACCAATGGTACCACTGCTCCATGCAAGTACAGGCAGGGTTGGCACCTATCAGATGACAAAAAGCTGAACAGAACAATGCACCTTCGCCCACATGAAAAAAGATCACAGTTTATATCCAAATGGAATTTAATACAAGTACACCATCTTACCAAGTCCAGGAAATGCAGCCTAATATTGAACACTCTTCAGGTCTTTTGTGCTCAAGGTATTATTCCTCAATCAAAACATTCCCTAAGTGTCACACGGATAAGGAATTAACTGCTAGATGTGCTTACCAAGATTAAATATTGCAAACCACCAAGGAACCTGATAAACACAAGGCATGTGGGGAGTTTTGAAAGCAGTACAGCCCAGAGCACGTAGCTCTACAGGATGGGACCACTAAGGCTGAGATATGAACTAGTGAGAAATAAAGGAACTTCACGCAGGTCTAACCTGGCGCACAAAACAAGCAGAAAATGGCAAGCAGTGCAAGATATTCCAGTTGTTCCAGACCAAGACAGATGAGTTTAGCAGGGTTTATTAGCTTGGTCTTGCTGCAACACCAGTGAGAGGGAAAAGCAGCCACAAGACAGCAGTGCACAGCAGGAACTACAAGGAACACAGAATCACAGAATGGCCAGGGTTGGAAGGGACCTCAAGGATCATGAATCTCCCTGCCAACAGGCAGGGCCACCAACCTCCCCATTTAGTACCAGCCCAGGCTGCCCATGGCCCCATCCAACCTGGCCTTGAACACCTCCAGGGACGGGGCATCCACAGCCTCTCTGGGCAGCTGTTCCAGCACCTCACCACTCTCTCTGTAAAGAATTTCCCCCTGACATCCAACCTAAATCTTCCCTCCCTCAACTTAAAAAAATTTCCCTTTGTCCTGCTGCTATCTACCCTTTCAAAGAGTTGATTCCCCTCCTGTTTGTAGGCTCCCTTTAGGTACTGAAAGGCTGCTATTAGGTCACCTTGCAGCCTTTTTTTCACCAGGTTGAACAAGCCCAGAGAATAGCATCCAGCAGAGCACAAATGCTTCCTACTCTGCAAAGCAAACCTCTGCTAATAGAAGGTAGAAAATGATGATCAGCACCAAAGCCTCAGTAGCTGAACCAAAAGGCAGTACACCTGTCTTCAGGCTACAATCAGCGTAACAATGCTTGAACTCCACCTCTGGTGTTAGTCAGCCTTGTGAGGAGGGTCAGGTACGTCACCACAAGCAACTGTTTCACTCTCTGCTGTCCTCTTAGTTCCATCTACTCACATTACGGGAGGAGAACTCCAAAAGCCACATCCACATCATGTCAGTCTGGGCCTTGTCCAGGGTCACCTCCCCTTTGGGGCACGGTTTTGAAAGACAGTGTGGAACAGCAGACACAGGTGAGCATCACTGTATGACAAAAGGAAGAGAGAAATTATTCTCCCCACTAAGTCCAATCCTTATGAAGAGCTCACAGAATCACAGAATGGCCAGGGTTGGAAGGGACCTCAAGGATCACGAATCTCCAACTCTCCTGCCACATACAAGGCCACCAACCTCCCCATTTAATACCAGACCAGGCCGCCCAGGGCCCCATCCAACCTGGCCATGAACACCTGCAGCGACGGGGCATCCACAGCCTCTCTGGAACAGCCAGCACCTCACCACTCTCTCTGTAAAGAATTTCCCCCTGGCATCCAACCTAAATCTCCCCTCCAAGCTTGGGATTTTGTTATTGCAAGCTTATGAACCGTGGCATGCCATCCTGACGTCTTTCAAGGCTACCAGGTCTATCTGTCCTCCAAACAAGCTGGGGAAAGACACAGAGAGATTCCCGGGCGCTCGGTAACAGCGCGGAGCCGGGCTGTAAGCGGAGGGGCTGCGCAATGAGGTGTGAGCAGCAGCGCCTGCCCTCCCGCAGCCGGGGCTCTACTGCAACCCAGGCTCACGCCGGGTGGGGACGGGAACGGAGGAATCGATCGTGGCGTGGCAGGCGATTACCTTCGCATCAGCGCGGTCAGAACCCCAGCAGCCCCGCCGTGCCTGGAAGCGCACGGACGCAGCCAAGCCTCCCGTAACCGCAAGGCCACCCGCTCTTTGTTCGTGCTTTTCAAAGCGCACGTCGTTAAGCGGTTTCTCTCCCCCCAAACCCATATCCCCGCACTCCTACCTGCCCGCCCCGCCCCGCGGTAGAGACCGCACCGACATCCCCCGGCTTCGGTGAAGTCCTCGGCCGCGGTCAGGGACCGACCGCCCCCCCCCGCTCCGGGCGCCGCCGGCTTCCACTCACCGTCCGTCGCCACGGCCGCAGCGGCGCGGCCCGACTTCCCGATGGCGGCGGCCGGGGACTCGGAGCTCGGCCCGGGGAGGGGACGCGCTGACCGACCCGCACGGCACCTCCCCGCCGCCCGCCTCGCCGCGGGGGGAGCCCCCGGGCCGCGCGGAGGGGATCCCGGCCCTGCCGCCTTCTCGTCGCGCGGAGCCGTGAGGGCTGAAGGCGGCGCGGCTTTCCGCAGGAGCGGGGCTCCGTATCAGCCCGCACCCCATAACCGCTGCCCGCAGCCCCGGGGCGCGCAACGGAACTCGGACAAAGGCAGTTAGGGAGGATCGGCGGTTTCACCCCGTCTCTCCCAAAATGCTGCGCGACTTCCAACGCCTCGAGGTGCCCCGGGACCTCCCGACGTGCCTGAGGTGTGTGGAGAACGCAGCGGGCTGCGCCGCGCACAGCTGAGGGCTGGCTGACCGCAGGGAGCTTTTCCAACCTTAGTGCTCCAGTTCGTTTCTTCGCGTTGCTGTGACCTGGAAGGGTCTACATACACGTTACAGAGCTATGAAGTCTCTTACAACCACTGTCAAACCTTTCCCACGCTAATCTTGCATAGTCTATTTCTTTTTTTCACTTTTTTTTTTTGTTAGGATTCTTCTAGACGTGATGTTCACTCCCCACGCGGCCCACAATACTTTTTGCACTTACCTTGGCTTGCTTGGGCCTCGCTGATTTTTCCACTGCAGTGAAAATTACAGTGCAAAATGTCTTCCCCGTAAGTGTCTTCTAAACAGGTGGCACCTGAACATTTCAAAGTACTGCCCCCTTGCCCTTGTAAACATGGCCTCCACACGTTCAAATGCCACACAGAGGATCCTTTAGCTTTGCTATACAAATGGTGATTACTGTGGTATGAATACCATTCTTCAGTCAATTACATTTTCGGCTTCTTAATAAAGCGCTTCCTTGTTGTCCATAAATGAGGGCTTGAGTGCAATACTAGTGCTTAATTATTAACTTTTCCAGTGACCAGTTTTTGTCACTTGGGCCTGCTCCTCCTTACCAACTAATGCATTTAATACCTGCCCTTTTTATATTCCAACCCTTTATCTTTTCACTTCAGAGTTCCTTCATCTAGGTAAAGGCACTTTCATTCCTTTGGGCTCTGAAATACCTACCACAGTAACTCACTCAGTTCAGACCCCTTTTATGCCAAAAAAAAAATCTTTTGTATCCCTACTTATTCTTGTAGAAAAGGACACCTAAAACTCTTTGGCCTTTCTTGACAGGTTGTAGGTTTTTTTTTTTTTTGCAGCTGTGTTTAACTGCAGAAAATACCAAAGAGAATAATTACCCACTTTGTTTTTATTATCAATGGTCATAAGAGAGTATTTAAGCCTTACAGGGCTGAATGGTGACACAAATGCTAGAGGATGTTACTGTTTACAGAAAATACTCCAGCATGATTCTCAGTCTTTTTGCTTTTCCTGCAGTACTGTTGCCTAGCAATTGTTTCCCCACTCTGTACCTTTTCCTAGTGCTAAGCTTCATGTTTACTTCCATTCCTACTTCTTTCCACATCACTGCTCCAATTGATAAAGATCATTTTGAATTCTAGTTCTGCCTTTGTACAGCTTGGTGTCACCTACAAAAAAAAAAATAATCAATAAACATGCACTGTATTTCCTCATTCAAATACACAACAAAGCCAGATCTGCTGAAGACTGAATACAATAAAAGGCTTATCACCAAGTTCATTTCCCACACCTGTATAAATTTATCAATTTATATTGATAAATATTGCTGAATTTGCGTGCTATAAAATGTAGCAAGTAAACAGTGAGAAATAATTTATTGTACAAACACAGGCAAGTATTTTGTGAGCTGTTCTTTCAAGAGTGTCTGCTAAAAAGTCATTGCAAGTCAAGGTGAGTTCCAAGAGATTATTGCATTATAGAAACTAAATACAAGAAGGAACCATCTTCTCCCTCTTCTCGTCTCACACAGTGCAGAGCAACTTCTCTCACAGGAATCATCAGCCAGGTGAATGAAGGCACCAGGTGCCGTAGCATGAGACTGCTGAGGTACAGCATTCAGAGCCAGTACTCCAGTGTCAGCTGTAGCTCTGGTGCCAGCCAGTTCCTGTTGTACATCCAGTGGAATCCAAACAAGCACTCTGTGTTACATCTGACATTTACATTTTGTCATCACAATTCACATTAGTGTTCTCCAAGTGGATCCTAACGTCTTCTCCTCTTGGAGAGAGGTACTTCTGAAAGGAAATAAAGAGATTTTTCTGACAAACTTTGCAATCTATCTTCCCTCCTGGGAATAATTAAACTAGAATTAATTCTGCCCAGAAGAAGGAAATGAATTAGATGAGCTCCTGAGATTCCCTCAGGAACCCCTCTCTGCATGACTTTAAATATGAAAAAAAAATATTTCCAGATTCTATGGCATATTATCATTCAAAATATTAAATGAAATCCCACTGATTAACAAAGTACTGTCCTTTCCAACTTATTCAACTTCGAGAGCTTTCTGTTCCTCATAAACATCTTTAATATGGAACACTTAGTAACAAAGTTACACCTAAGTTTGCTTATGGGTATTTTTTAATGCTTCAAATACTGGTAAAACTATTCAAAGAACTGAGGAACTGACTTAGAGACAAAACATCATGACAACTTGGAGGAGGAACAAACAACATCATGTACAATATAAAATACACCACTGTGCCTTCAACCTGTCTAAAAGTTGAATGAATTCAAATTGTCTGCAGCTAACTATGATGATCAGAGGCCGTACTACTTTGCTGTGGATGTATTTTGTTATTATTCTCTCTTGTATGAAAATAATCTTTTGTTACATACAGTTTTTGATAGTAAGTTAACTCCAAAACATGTATTCCTCACACTCATCTATGCTGTCAGGCCTTTACAGAAGTTGCACTTATCCTCTTGTTTCCCTTTCAATAAATTAAATCCCATTCTTTCAGGCTAACAGCAAGGATCTCTGGTCGAGCTCTTCAGTCTGCCTTCCTCTTTGTAAGCAGGATCTATCAGACTATCAATGAACTGCCAATGGAAATAATTTTATGTACAATGAACATGACTCCCAGGAGTTTGCCATCACATTTGCTTGCAACAAACTATCAGAGCAAAGCTTCGGTTTTGATGTAACAATTTACAGGATGAAAACTAACCTAGATTTTGCAAGAAAGCAAAGCAAAGCGATTCAAGGCACCAATTTTAGTTTAAAAAAAAAAAAAAAATACAGCATAGTACAGAGCAATTAACAAAACAAGCCTACAGACTCTTAGAATTTCAATCATGATACCTTCTGTATCTGAGCTGTCTTCTTCTGTGATTACAGGCATCCCAATATGGCGAGTAACAGTTTCCTTTTCTGCTTGCATCTGACCTGCAGACAGATTTTTTAGGAGAAAAAGTCAGCTTTGGGTTTTTGTTTTTCTTTTTTTTATTAATATTAGTTTCTTTTTCACTTCTGTATCTTAGCTTCAGTAGTTAGAAGACTGTTCTCTTGTATCTACTGACTTTGCAGACAAAGGTTGTGGAGAAACACCTGTTTCCAGTACGTTCATATGGCTCACCAGAAAAATGCTCTGTAACAAGTAACTAACAGCATTGATCACCAGCTCAGTTCAGAGATTATTCAAAGCTCCTCTCCTTACTCTCTCTCCAATACTACATCTAATGTTCTGAAGTGAAGCAGAGCCAGCGTAGCCTAATGCCCAGCTCTGAAGTGGGCTGAATTTTCTCAGAAGCTAAGCAAGGCAGACTTTGGAATTTTGAAATCATTCTCTTCAAGGTGGTTTATTCAAAACTACTTCACTGCTCACTTTTCGTTAACCTTCAATAAACAGTAAGTCAGATGAAAGACTGAAATGGCTGAGCAACTTTTATCAGTTAGAAGTTGGACACTGGAAAGCTGACTTCAGAGAACAAAAGCCATTTCCCACGCCTTCAGAACTGGCAGACGGAGATGAAAGGACTGTCTTTCAAGTCCAAAGGAAAAAGAAAAAAAAAAAAAAGATGCACAAGCAGGGATGTGCAAATACTTGGAATGTAAGCAAGTGCAAAAAACTGTCACCAAACCAGTTTCTTGAGACCTGTAAATGAATCATCCACAACCTCTCTGTGCAACCTGTTCCATTTTCTCACCACCCTTACAGTAAAGAACTTCTTCCTAAATGGCAATGGAAAAAAACCTCTGATTTCCAGAGAACCTCTTTTCTCTGATGGCTGTGGTCTCCTACTGCTTTTTTTACTTCGTTTTGGAGATTTCCCATAATCCAGTCCTGATTCAGAAGATTCTAGTATTACTTGACGATGTCTTCTGGATTTGGAGGCCTAGAAGGTAAAGATAGGTAAGAACTATGAAAAAAAGAAGTTAACCTGCTATAGCTGTGTGTTACTGTATGTCATTTAGTGCTTCATTCATAAGGCTGAACTGCTGTACATCCCAAAGTTCTGTTTCATTTCATAATGAATTCTCCAATAAATAATCTAAATAAACAAAGAATGATGCAATGTTTATCATGGCTCTGCCATAAGAAGGAGAATTCAATCATATTTTTTGAGTAGTACTTGGAGAAACAATTCCAAAAATTTCCTATTGGCTTTAAACCCCCAAGTTCCATTCTCACAAGAATCTTCACAGCTTCAAACATCTGAGCCTCAAGGAACCATTGAACTCAAGTACTTCTTAATTCCATTTACTTGAAATTCCATCTATTAAAAACAGAGTACTGACATGAAAAGATACCTTGTAAATGAAAACCCCCAGGCACAGACCACACTGGCATTGCTTCATTAATCTAACAAGAATAACAAGAACCTCACGTTTCCTCTATGTGTATGGAAACCAGAACATTCAAAAGCTGAATTACAGAGTGCAATTTTAACTGCTTCCTTTTTGATCAATTGTTTACACTGTTAGTACTTTAAATTATCATTTAAAATAACTACATCTCTACCATCAAATTTTATACTCACCTCAACAACTGCAGAATAAGACTTGTGCTTGATTCTAGCCAAAGCATCTGCTCTTTCAGAACCCTGCAGAGAAACAAAAGGATTACTCAGGAAAAGATTTCATTTTCTATTACACTAACATTAAAACGAACTCTTAAACCAAATTTCACAGTATTTCATTATTGCTGTAATTCCATAATAAATGGTGACAAATTGTTTCTTAAATAAAGTTCAAGTTCCATTAAGAATGCAAAGCTGAATTTGGTTGCCTTCAGGTTCCTGCCACAGTTCAGGAACAGAAAATAAAATTTGAAAGTTCACTTCTTAGTCAAATTCACAGTTGAAACTAGCAGGTAAGTACAATACAAGAGAATTTTACAGCATTAAAAATAGTTACTGCATTTAGGTGAAACTCTGGGAGGGATCATGAAGGTGTTTGGCCAAGAAAACACAGCTTTTTCCCTTCCTTACCTGACAGGGGCCGTATCTTTTTACTTCTAGCACCCCAGAACTATCACAGCAGTGTGCTCAGAGCAAACAGCAAACAGCAAACAACGCAACTTAAAATAAAAACCCCAACTCTACCAATTATTCCTGGAACTTACTTTGACTTTGTCAAGCCCTGGAATGACAGGAAAAACCCACCTCGCCTATGATATTGAGTTAAGAAATTAGCAGATTCTGCCTGTGCAATGTAGCAAACAAGTTCATTTTTCTTACTTCTGATCTTAGCGAAGTTCCTTCTTCCACTCTGTTTGGCATTTCATCAGCTTCTTTAGCTTTTAGTAACAATTTCTGAAAGATACACGATACAGAATGTTTTTTAAATGTCAGTCACTCACAGAGCAGTAACCACATGTGCCCATTTTCTTCACTAATCTGACATTACAGCCTTTCCTTCACCACAAACTGCTACAGAGGTATTTCGCACGGTCATTCTAATACCATCCACAAATCACACATTCCAGGGCAAACATTTCTGTTATCAT